GATATCGCAAGACACAGAGTGGGAGAGATATTTGCAACACATATGACCAATAAAAAGCTCATAAATGAGCTATATAAAGAATGCCTGTGAATCAATAATAAAAAGAAAATACAGTAGAGAAATGAGCTAAAGAGGTAAGCAGATGATTTGCCAAAGCAGAAATCTAGATAATGAATAAACATATGAAAAAGAGTGCTTACACCAGAAATTGACACGACATTGTAAACTGACTATATTTCAGTAAAAAAGAACGCAAATAAAAGAGGTGCAATCTCATTAACTATTAGGGAATGCAAATTAAAATCACAATTACACACCAATACAAAGCCTACAAGAACGGCTAAAAGTCATGGATGGACTTGGAGGGAATTATCCTAAGTGAAATAAGTCATACAGATACTTTATATCAGTTACCTGTGGAGGCTAAAAAATACAACAAACTAGTGAATACAACAAAAAGAAGTAGACTCACAGACATAGAGAACAAACCGGTGGTTACCACTGGGAATGGGGAGGGGCAAGGCAGGGGCGGGGGTGTGGGAAGCACAAATTACTGAGTGTAAGACAGGCTCAAGGACGTACTGTACAACATGGGAATATAGCCAATATTTTGTAATGATTATAAATGGAAAGTAACCTTTAAAAATTGCATACAAATTTAAAGATAAAACATAAAATGTTTATTTAAAAAAGGAATCCCTATGAAAACCAATAAAATGCACCTATGCTATCAAAAAGAAAAACAAGAATAGCTAAAACTGAAAACATGTGAGAACATCAAGTGTTGACAAGGATGTGGAGCAAACAACTCTCCTCCACTGTTGGTGGGAGTTACTGATACAACCACTTTTGACATTATCTTGTAAAGGTAAAGACAGGCTAAATTCCATCCCAGCAATTCCGCTCCTGGTCTTGTACCTCAGAATTGCAGACACCTGTGCACCAGAGGCTGACCCCTCTGATGGACATATTCTTCTCTGACTTTGATAAACCTTTGGCCAGAGTACTGCTGAGTCCGGCTGGCTACCTGAGCCCTTTGGGTACTTTGCTCCCATGAACTCTGTGTAATCTCACTGTTACACACTCAGGAGACAACAGTATTTCAAGTTTGCTGTAGAGGAGCCCCTCTCTCCTCCCCCCAGCCTCTCCTGTGCCTGTGATGAGCTCCTGGGCTGAGGGAGGAGCTGCGGCTACAGTTCTCAGCAGTGACCGTGGGTGTCCATACCTCAGCTCCCCGCTGGTACTCACCCTCTCCCTTGGGCCTAGGGGTGGGTTTGTACAGCCCCTCCTGTGTCTCAGAATCCTTTCATGTACTTTATGTCGTATCTCGTGACTGGGAAGTAAGCTCCACCAAGAGGGACTTGTGGTCCGACTTGTCCTTGCTTGCTATGTCCTGGATGCCTAGGTAGTCCTGTGAAAAGGTAGGGATTTAACAGGTGAAGAAACAGGCTCAGAGAGGCCACCTGACCCCCAAATGAAGGGGCCTGCTGGCCCTCAATCTGGTATTTAGTGCTGCATTTTGGGGCACAAGATAACCTTTTCATTTCTATAAACTATATGAGAAACAAGAAGGAACTGTAAATCCAATGTATGTGTCACAACATCACACAGAGGAAGGGATATGAAATAAAAGACCAAGGTCTGAGTTCTAATATTGCTGCTGATGCTTTCCAGCCCTAAGGCCCACTCTGCAGGCTCTGCTGAGGGCGTGATGAGACCACAAATATGAAAGTGTGTTGTAAATAGTAAGGCATCGTTGGGGGTTGAACTGTGTCCCCCTGCAAAGATACACTGACGTCCTAACTCCCAGTACCTGTAATCTTGACTTATTTTGAGATAGGGTCTTTGCAGTTGTAATCAAGTTAAGACGAAGTCATTGTCTTAAATCTAATGATTGTTGTCCTTCTAAGAAGGCCTTGTGAAGACACAGAGACATAGAGGAAAGACGGCCACGTGAAGGCAGAGGCAGAACCTGGAGTGATGTAACTACAAGCCAAAGAAAGCCAAGGATTACTGGCAACCACCAGAAGCCAGGACGAGGCAAGGAAGGATCTTCCCTCTAGCTGTCAGAGGGAGCATGGCCCTGCTGACACCTTTATTTCAAACTTCCAGGCTTCAAAACTGTGAGAGAATAAGGTTCTGACAGTTTTAAGCCACTCAGCTTGTGGTAATTTGTTATGGTGGCCCCAGGAAACGAACACAGGGCTGGCATGTGTATAAAGGGTAGGCCTTGCAGGGCTATGGTTCAGCCCTGCATGTACACTTCTCCCAAGTGAAATGACCAGTCAGTGCTGAAAGGCTCCTCAGCAACTGATTTTCCTTCCATGCTGCCTAAGTTTCCCACATTTTCAGTAGAGATGAGGACACAGGACAGGCTATGGAGCAGGGTGGAACAAGCAGAAAGAAGGGATCTGGGGACAAATGTCTGAAAAAAAGAGCAGCAGGTGCTGAAGGGGGATGTCTCCATGCCAGGCGATCACTGTAGGGACAGGTGAGGAAGGGAACGGCAGGGCTGGAGGTCCCCAGAAAGGATGCTGGCCGGCCCCACGCAGCACAATTTCTGAGAAGCACAAGCCCAAGGCAGGAAAGGGCCAGCACAGACCTCAGTGTATCCTGTTCCACACGTCAACCCCTTCTTTGGATCAAAGACTCTTGGCAGCACCTGGTAATTCTATTCGTTAGGCCTGCACTGTCTCCTGTTCCCCTTCCGATCTGGGTTTTCTTATCCTTCCTGCATGTGCTATAAAGGTGGGATAGAGCCAAGGGCTTTAATCCGCATTTCAGAATATTCTCATGAGAAACAAGACAAAACAAAACACAATACTAACAACCCCTTACGTCTGGATGGGATTTCGAACTTACAAAGTGCTTTCACATACAACCCTTCCTGGGCCCTCCCTGTGAAAACAGCCAGCGGCGCTCATCCATGAGAGCCAGATCCCACCCCAAATCAGTGATCACAGGAAGTCCTAAGCAGAACCAGGCCCAACCCCCTAAAGTGGGGAAGGGTTAGGTTTGGAGACCAAAATACACACAGGCCATAACCTCACATCCTCATATGCAGCCCCATCCAATAGCAAAGAGCAGACTGGGTTCACGGCAGCAGTGGAAACGCCATCTGGTCAAGAGTCCCAAGATGAAAGGAGAGGACTTCTGTTGTCAGCAAATTGGGGACTAGGTGACTTGAATCAACCCTTCCACCAAGGACAACCAAAAGGCTGTATAAATGTCTTAAAAGCATAAAGACCTATTAAGATTCTAAAGAACTGCTAGGCTGACATCCCAGAGGACAGGGATGCAGACAGGTGAGCCCAGCATTCAGGGCCTCTTCTTCCCTGGAGGCACTTGCCCATTTGGAAGAGGTGACCAAGAGAATGCACTGCATTTCTGAAAGTCTTGCGGGGATGTGGGAAGGGGGTGTTGGAGTGCAGGGCCCACCAAAGGTGGGACACTGATAAACCATTGCCTTTTTTGGGCTGTGACCCCAGAGGATTGTGCCCTAACGGGTAAGGATGAACCAAAAGCAAACCAGCCCTTGAATTATGTGGTAAGTCTGTGGCCTGGCTTCAGAGGCCAGGAAATCACCAACCTTGAATCTGGAATAGTGTGATCCCAGAATTCAAGTGCCCCTGGACATGTGACAAGCAAACCAAAACCCTCTCTAAAGGAAGAAGCCATCTTAGGTCTGAAAATACCTCAGTAAACAATTTTTCAAATACAATGTCCAGCATAAAGTAGAAAAATAATGAGGCACCTAAGGAGACCAATGAGGGAGAACCAACAGAAATCAGGCAACAGAAACACACTCACAGGGATTCCAGTATTGGAATTATCACAGACTGAACACAGGCAAAGTTCTAGAACCCACGCCCCAGTAGCCAGTAATTCTGGCTATTTGAATTCTGAACTCTATCTCTAATCCATCCTCATTCATGCCTGCCTTGCTACAATCCCCTTTGTATCTGCCTTCACCACTGTCTCCAGCGGTATCTTCTTAGAAAACCAATGCTACAATCCCCTTTGTATCTGCCTTCACCACTGTCTCCAGCGGTATCTTCTTAGAAAACCAATCTGACCATCTCTCAGCTTTGTGTTTAACAGCATTCATGGCCCTTCCAACCTAAACTGCCCTTTCCAGCCTCATCACCTAAGACCCCACGCCACAATCTCTAGTCACACAGCACAACTTTCCTGGGAGCATTCTCCTTCTGCCTCGAATGTCCTCTTCTCCTGAATCATCCTGAAAGATGCCCTCTTATCCTTCAAAGTCCAATTTAATTCTCTCCTTTTGAAGCCTTTCTGAAGTCATAACTCCAAAGCTCACAGCTTTGCATGTACTTCTACTAAGTACAGACACACTGTGTTACAATTATTTGTTTGTAAGACTCAAGTACATTGTTAACTTCCTGAGGTTAAGGTCTATCTTGTTCATCTAGAGATCCGGAACAGCACCTGGCTGAGTGAGTGCTGAACAAATATTTATGAAAGAAGGTAAGAGTATTCTTAATAATAGGTGCTACAGATAGTTGTAGACTGAATTGCGTTCCCCCCCAAATCATGTTGAAGCTCTGATCCCTAATGTCAATGTGTTTGGAGATAGGGTAATTAAGGTTAAATGAGGTCATCAGGGTGGGGCCCTAATCCAATAGGTGCCCTTATAAAAAGAGGAAGAGGCACCAGAGAGCTCTCTCTGCATGCACTGAGAAAAGATCATGTGAGGACACAGTAAGAAGGTGGCTGTCTGCAAGCCAGAAAGAGAGGCCTTGCCAGAAACTGGCCCTGTTGGTGCCTTGAACTTGGACTTCTACCCTCCAGAACTATGAGAAAATAAATGTCTGTTGTTTAGGCCTCCCACTCTGTGGTCTTCTGTTATGGTCCAAGCTGCCTCACACATAGACCATATCGGGGATTTCAAACATGTATAAATATACATCTTTAGTGACGGTAAGAATTTGACTCAAACTGACAAGGTAGGAAGCAGGCACAATGCCATCGGGAAATGGCTTTTTAAAAAGTTTTATTTCAAGAACTTTGTTTTTTCTGGTATTTCAAAAAAAAAGGTGGGTCAAAGTACAAAAAAAGTCAGTTGAATAACAGCATGGGTTTAGAAATCACATCAGCAGAAGCAATGTCCAGACAGCACAGACAAAACAATCCAAGGTATGCAATTCTTGTTCAGGTTCTTTGCTTATTTTGTGTTTTTTCCCTCCTGTACAAAATACACCAAAGCATGCCATGAGACCAGAAAAAGAAAGGAGTTTAACAAATGGTTACAAGAAATAGACTCTGTACAAGAGGAGATAATGCTTCTTCCCAGTCCCCCCACCCCCCACTTCCTCTCTTCTTGCTCTGCTTTAGGTTAAATTATTCTGAAGACAGTTCACCTCCAAGTCGGCCTGGTCACCTTTGCCACCCTCGAGCTTGGGCGACATGGAGTTCTGGATGTTAAATGACTCCTCCTCTTTCAGACAGGACTTGAGAGCTTCCTGGATTTTGTGGGGAGCACTAGATTCATCCTGGAAGAGAAAATAAGGTGACGGAGGGGTGCGAAGGAGACAACAGGTACAGGCACCAAGTAATAATCCTACGCTTTTCAATCTGGGTTGAAGAAGAACTGAAAAAAGGAAGACAGCTCTGAGACTTGAATGAACCAAAGTGACTCACTAGCAGATACTTTTTAGGTATAAAATCCTTAAAAACACTGGCCAGATATAGATGAAAACTTGACAGGTAATTGGATTACAAATACCTTTAATGTAGGCCAGTCCGAGGCTTTCTCTCTGGTAGAGGTTAGGGAGAAAACTGCCCCAGGCCCCTGTAAAGCCTCACCTGTTGGTGAGCTTGGCTTGGCCTGCCTGGCCCCTCTTCCCAGAGGTCTTGCTCAGGGAACATGACTTGTCGGTGCATTCAGTCCTGTTCAGGTGCAAAGCAGCTCCTGGCAAAGCTAGGTCCCCTCTCCCCACAGCAAATAGAGGCTATAGATGTGTGAACCTCTCTCCATCAGAAGTTTCTCTACCCAGAGATGCTAGCTTCGAAGGTGTCCCCTCCGTCTGAGCCCGGAGAAGTCCAGCTGCTGAATGGGCTGCCATCCTCTGCATTAGACAGTGTTTGTGCTGCTGCTTCACAGCCCACCTCTGACGTGAGCCCGTGCCGTCCTGCCTTTCCTTGTGTGTTGCCTGCGGCTGTGACAAGCTCCTGAGCCTGATCTGAATTTGCTTGTTGCAGGTTTTCAGGAATCCCATACCGGCACAGTCCTTACTTTGCACTCGGAGAACTCATACAGCAGCTCCTGCCTCCCCTACTCCTTCCCTTCAGGACCACCTGAGGGGGTTTATGCAGTGCGATTTAGTGGGCCTCAATTCTTTCTCAGCTGCCCCAGATAGCTCCTGTAAGTGCTCAGAACTCTGTTGATCAAATAGGTGGGGTAGCTCCCCTGGGCAGGCTCATGGGTGGCAAGAAGGGTAACGTCCTGGTCTGACCAGTTAGCCTAGACCTTTTGTAATTTAACCACTTCCAAAATTCAAGGTACTCACCATGTATAAGGACCAGGCATTCTTCACAAAACTGCATGAGCTGTTGTCTAGGCTGTCTGCTACTGAGTTTGACCCATAATGGCACCAGGTCAGGGGAATGACTGGTTGGAAAGTAGGGAAAGGCTCCAGGCCTGTGTAGGACACCTGGCGTTCAAACGTACTGTGCATATAGGAATCACCGTCACCTGCTCCCTGCCTCACTTAGCACTTTTCCAGACCAGCTTGAATAAAGTGATTTAATAGAGTTTCAAAGACCTCAGGAGTGATTTACAGACAACAGTGGAACACATGTTCCCCATTTTCAGTGAGACAAGCACAGGAGGAAATGAACCTTCAGTGCCGAGGCGGATTTCAGGCAAGGCAGCTGCACCAGCACCCATGGGGGCTGGACATTTTCTACCACTGCTTGGAAAGGTTTAGAAAAAAATTTTTCAATGCCAGAAACATATACATGCTGAGATAGAAAGATCACCCTGATGTATTAAGTATATGTGCATGTGCGCGCGCACACACATTTATGGAGAGGGAAGGAGGACAAGGCAGAACTTCTGTACTGTCTGGGAGCAGACACTGGGCGTGGAAGCATGAGAACTGGGCCATGAGAGACCCAGGGTAGAACGGACTTGGAATCACAGGAAAACCTGGAATACGACAGGATGGCCTATATTTACCTCTCCTCTTACAAGGATGGAACTCACTTTCATGTTTTTCAAGATAACTGACCCCTCCCTGCCCCGGCTCCCACCCTAGTGCACTCCCTGGGGCCAAGTGGATTTAGTGAGTCCTGTTGTAGATCCAGGCATCAAAGCTGTGCTGCCGTGATGGGCGGGGGGGACCCAGATTACACCTGGTCTCTTGAGGGCCTGTGGGCTTTGGACAGATGCGAAAGCTGCCTTCTGGGCCAATGGGTGGGAGAAGTATATCCTAAAAATAGGGAACACAGGTATCCAGGTAACACTATCAGACAAGTTAAGTACCTCCAAGAAGAACACGTGAGGGAGCATCTAGACCAAGACGGAGCTACCCTAGCCCAGGGGCTCCCCCAGAGCCCCATCCTGTTAAGCCGAGGGCTGCTGAATCCCTCAGCGGAAGGCCCTCTGGTTTAGGGGAAGTCCCTCGTCAAGAGGGAACTGGACCTCCCTCTGGCGGAAGTCTGGGAACAATTCTGGCATTCCACCCAGCTATGTGGGCATCCGTTAGCCAGGGGTTCAGGCCTGGGTTCCTACTGGTCCAGATACAAACCTCCATGGCGGTGGGGGGGGGCACAGTCGGTGCTTTACCAAGTACAAGGAAGAAACATGGAAGATTGGGAAATTAGAAAGATGTAAATGGGGAGGATGGGGGTGCAAAGCACAAAGGGCCAGGAAGGTCTGTCAGATCTCTGGAGGACCAAGTTACAGCCACGGCACTCCCCTGACAGCACAGCTGTGAAAACCAGTAGGGCCACTCTCGGTGCTTGGGCAGGTGATTTCAGCCGTGCTGTGCAGCTGGAGGACGTCCAGCTTCCTACACACTAGAAGTTCCTCCCGGAAAACTGCTAACCTCCAAAACAGAGGCTGAGGAGTCGAGGAATTTTCCTTTTCCTCCTGATGCTCCTTTCCGAGGCTGGCTCTCAGCTACAAGGATACACATGCACTGAGCCACCGGCTCACCTGCCCCGTGGCCCCTCACCAGTCCAGAGGGCCCCGGCCAGGAGCAGCACAAGGTGATACACGCAGCAGGGGAAAGGGACGTGCCCCCGACACAGAACCCAGCCACGGACCCTGCCCCCGCCAGACCCAGAGCAGCACGCTTTCTTTTGTTTGAAATGTTTTCAGAGTATGGCTTATAGAGATTATTGGAACTCTGAAGGAAAATGACCTGCTCAGTCTACTTTACTCATATAAAAGAAATCACTCCTCTATTATGATACATAAAACTCTCTACAATTTTAGGAGACACCAAAATCAACAAGGAAATTTGAGGGATGAAGGGCGAGGGATGGGGAGAGACTAACGGAGCAGGCTTGACTCAAGTGTCCTCATTTCAGCTTCCCGGCCACCTGAAGGTTTCCTCACTTTTGCCTGCTGCTAGCACCACTGTGCAGGCTGAAGTAAGGGACAGGGCTTCACTGCATAATAAAGTGGTAACTGTCTTAACTATCAATGCCACCAGATCTTGACAGTGACAAAGTATGACTTCCGGGCTTGTGGTGGGAATTAGAGGTGAACCTTGTAGAAAACCCACCTGCTGGACAGAAGTGTCCCTCCTCACACACTCAGAGCTTTGGCAGAGAGGACAGGATGCCCTTTGGGGCATAAGCTGAGGGAAGGATGCCAGGTGGAGACGGCCCTCAAGATCCAAGAGGAGCTGGAGGACACCACTTCACTGTGGGATGCCCCGCGTGCTACCCAGACAACCACATGGCCCTTTCCAGTCAGAGTCCACCATGCCTGACCACCCTGCTCCATTCCGTTCTTGTTTTGCCATATTCTGAACTCAAGGCTGGTGGCAGCTTTCATGGACAAATGCCTTGCTTCCACAAAGCTGGGTTGGCCAAGAAGCACAGGAAACCTTTGTATTGGCTCATGTGACCAAGGCCTCCAAGAGGAGTTACTTCCTCTTGCTGCCTTTGTGAAGAGGATGGGTAGACATGCCTAGGGAGTCAGAAACGCATGTGTTGGGAGCTTTGCTAAGGACACTTGCACTCCGTGGACAACGAACATCTGCCTGCAGGCACCACCATACAGGTCAGACCTGCTGCCTGACACGTATAAGAGGGCAGACCAGACAGTGGAGCCCACAGACCCCGTGGCAGGCTGGCCAGCGCTCCCTAGCAGTCAGTCCCTAAGTGACAACGAGATGCTGATCACTGCAAGGGGCTGGGTAAGGTAGGTATTGGTGTACCGAGTTGAGTAAGGCTCACACTACATCCTTGTGGGTTGATTAATATGATTATCAATCTTAAAGTTTATAGGAACCTTGTTTTCTTGGTTATAATGTCCATCTTGAGGCATACCAAGTAAAATATTATCTGTTCTTTCTCTACTTTTTATATCAAAGACTTGAAAATAATTATCCTAAATTAGCCTCTCTTTCATTTCTTATTTAAATTGACCCTTTTGCTCCTCCTCCACCAGGCCAAGTTCTTCTTTTCTGGGGTTTGATGAACAAGGTCTCATGTACCATTATTCTCTCCTTCCCCTTCTGGGGCTACCCTTTCCCCATTTATGAGAAGAAAACAGTGGTTAGATTTGTGCTGTCCAATATGGTAGCACTAGCCACATTCCAGGAGCTCTGAAGCCTTGGTAGCTGGTGGCTGCTGTAGTGGACAGTGCAGATACACACATTTCTACCTCACAGAACGTCCCACTGCACAGCACTGGCCTAGACTGTTAAGGCCCCTGTAAGCTCACAAACTGTATGGTCCATTATTTCAAAGAACTGCTTCAAAATTTCCTCTTAACTCTTGAAAAGTCTTAGTTTCACTCCTTTATCTGTGTAATGGTGCATTTACCTGCAGGTTTGAAGCCTACATCATGTGCAGAATTCTTGGGTTTGGATATGACATGATTTGGGGCTTCAATAGCTTCTGTCTTATTTCTGAAATTCTGACAGTATCCAGTATTTGACTCGTTAGTCTGGTCCAGGTGACACACTAGGCCAGGGTCTTTAGAAAATGGTCGATTAAGACCTTTTATTGGGTTTCAACTGATATCTGTGAGCCCATCTTCCTAAGAACAGATTTACCCCTAGACTTATGGTTCCACCAGTGCCTGTGCTCACTTCAGCCCTAACCAGTGTATAGAAGCCTGCTCGGTTTTAGGGTCCTCAGTGTCAAAGACACTGTTCTTCCAGGCATCCCAGAGGTTTTTCCACTCATCCCAAAGAGCAACCACCATTTGCTTCAATGATCAGCAGGAAATTCCCTAGCAATGAAAGCAGAGCCTTTCTCCTTGATATAGAAAATAGAAAGACAAAAATCAGACTTCTAAAGCCTAGATGAAGCTAAAAATCATGAATCATCCTAGAAACAGATCTTTAGTACTTTGTATAACTTTGCTTGTCAAGGAAGTGATACACCATCAAGCTCTTATTCTACTCTCACTGCCCCAACTGACTGCGCTATCCCGATCCTCTGAGCCCTGAGGAGCGGCTCTACACTCTGAAGTAGACCAAAGGCGTGGGCAGGGGCTGAAGCATGCATAAGGGCAGATGTGAAGAAGACAAGTTACCTGGCAGATAACGTTATCATAGTGGGCCAAGGCACAGGCATGGGGGGAGGAGGTACGGGGCGTGTCGCTAAATTTCCTTACATTTGGGTGAGAGCCCTCGGCAATGGTGGAGAGGGAGAAGTTATCGTTGTGCAGCTCAGACGGGGTCCGGAATTTGCTGGTTGGGACAGAAAAGAGAAGGGCAAATGTAAGTGAAACGATCATTGTGAAATGTGAGACGCTCTGGGGGTCAAGTGCTGTGTCTCACCAAATGCCACCGACCATCATAAGATGCACCACCGTCTCATGTACCACTGAGGAAAAAACCACCACTTAAATCAAGATCCAATACTTTCTTATTACCTAGAGCTTTTATACATACTTTAAGTAGCTCATTTAGACTTTAGATAAAAAACTAACAACGATATGAACAGCTATGACCATGTTTGTGCAGTCAGACAATTACAACTGCACCATGACTGCCATCTGGCCAACAGTGACTGTAAGGTGCCTGCAATTGTCAGACACAATCCAGTTTCAGAGATGTTAATATGTGGGAAAAAAACGTGTCTTAGAATCAGGAAACTGCAGCAGTATCTGCAGTGCACTGGGTACATGTAGTGTTTTCAGAGCAGTAACCAGGCTGGGAAAGAAAGAAGGCATACAGAGGGGAACGAGGGAGCCAGCATTTGAGCTGAGCGGGTGTGGGAGCCGTGCTTTGTGCAAAACACATAACCAGTTAGAGGAGGAAGGCCTAGAATGGGGCCCTGTCCCAGGCCTCAGCTCTTGCTTCTACACTCCCCTGGTAGCTGCTCCTTCCCTCCCATCCTCATCAGCAGCTGCCCTGATAGGTGGTCCCAGGTCCCATTCTCACCCTGACCCTCCCCTCACCACCCCCCTCCAAGGCCCCTTGGTGTCAGCATGTGGAGCCAAGGGCCTTGGTTTGGGATCACATGTGCAGATACAGCTCTGCCTCAATGCACAGGCACAATGGAGAGGCCCCTGCAGCCCCACGGCGGTTTGCTGAAAGGCTGCAGAGAGCTGCCGGCATCTGCACATCCCACGAGTTTACCCAGCAAAGGAGCAACAGATGGCGTTTTGTCCTTTTCCCAGGACCCAGGGCAAGTCCTTCAGTCACATTCTCTGAGGGGACTCTCGGGTCAGGGGGAGGGGATTAATGGGACAACAAGTTGAAAGGGGGGTGGGGGCAGTTCTGCATAAATTGTCTCTTGTGCCCCAAGGAAGCTGACTCCAGTCTCCTTTTGTGACTCCTATGACACTTCAGAAGGTTCTCTGCTTAGTACTGAGAGTGATTCTCTCGCAGTGTGTAAGGTCACATTTGTGTGTTCAAGGCACTTCAAGGGTAAATGCATGTTGATTCCCACATGCAGTCACTCCTCTGCTAAGGGAAGAGCTGAAATGAGGCTCCATGTCCCCATAGGGCCCTTAAAGTCCACAGCAGAGGAAATTAGGTCTGGGCCCCTCTGCCCGCAACATCCTACTTAGGGGAGGGAAAGAGGACTTCCGTGAGTTCCTTACATCTCTGTCTGGACAAAAGGTTGACAATTTTGAAAGCAACACACTGCAGCGCTAAACCCTTTCACTGAGGAGGAGCTGGTATCGAGTGACAGCAGATCTGAGGGAGCTGGAGTCACTTCATGCTGATTTGTGAGCGAAATCCTCACACTGGCCACTGGCTGTCAAAGACCCGGGGAGCAGCTGTAGTCAGGTAGGAGCCGGGGACTGGGCACAGTAACTCACTTGGGGGCCAGAGTCGGGAGCTGCTCTACTCCAGCTGCTTTTCTTTTAAGCGCCCTCTGGCTGGGGGGTGGGGGGTGGGGCACGTTGCCGGACAGCTGAGTGTGCCACGGGGCTCAGCCTCTGCTGCAGTTCCGGCACATTCTCTGTAGGAATGGGTAAGCTTGGGGGAATCTTTGGTATGAAAAACACAACTGGGGATGGCAAGCAGGTGCCAGAAACCCTCACGACCACATCCCTGGATCAGGTGGGGTGGGGCTGGCGGACGGAGACTCACTTGGTCCTACGCAGCTTGGTGTTCTCTGTCTTGAGCAGATAGAGCTTCTTGGCGAAGAACACCGTCATCATGAAGAGCAGGAGCAGCACGAGGGCGGCGGAGCCGACAGCCACGCACATCACCTGGAAGTCGGTGATGATGGACTCGCAGCGCATCCCCTTGTGCCAGATGTAGTCCTGTGTGTTGCACCTGCACCAGCGACAGGGTGAGACTGAGGCGATGGGCGGGCTGGCAGCTGTGACCACAGCGAGGGTCTGACCCCTAACCTCAGGACTTTGTTCTGTGGCCTGTCCCCATGACCGGCTAGAGGAGCTGTGGTGCCCCTGCCTGTGCAAACCTATGGCTGCTATTCCTGCCTCCTCTTTACAACCACACTCTGATGGGGGCTGGGCACAGATGAGGTAACCAGGGCGCTGGGAAACTGAGCGAACTGGTCATTCACACGACTGAAGTGACCGAGGAGGGAAGGGAACCCTGGTTGCCACCTCGCAGCTGCAGTGAGAACAATCACAGGATTCTCTGACCGCCTCCCCTCTCCCAGCCCCGAACCTTGGGCTCTGGTGAAAAAAAACGATGAGAAACAAGATCATTAGGAGCTCTGGCTACAGAGTAGTAGGGTCTGCCCTTCACATGAAGACCTATCTTGTTGCTCTGCAGTTCCGTCTAGCTCACGTGCCTAACCAGACGCTGACAAATAAGGAAGCGATAGACAAGGACAAGCACAAAGATAGATGGATTTTCTCCTTCTACCTCTGCAGCCCCTAAAGTTCTGCCCCTCAAGCTTCCTGTCCTATTACCATGAGAACTGCCATGAAAGCATAGTGAGAATCAACCTCTGGGTGGGTTTCAGTCCTTTTGTTGAGTGACTTTCTCCTGCCCTTGGGGACATTCCCAGGCTCCAACTCTTCCAATGACATTGCTGTTTCCATGGGAACCAGACTGCTTCAAAGAGGAAAGATGTGGAAGGATACAGAAACAGGCAAAGGAGGGAGGACGTGAACCTCAGGGTGAATGACAGATAAGAGAAAGGGGTCCAGAAATGGGAAAATTATGCATCGGAGAATTAGCTACTCCACACCTAGAACAGGGTGGGGAGATGTGGCTGGCAGGGAATTCTTTCTTTTCCAACTGCCCCTCTGTAGTTGTGGGAAGCCATCTGTTGGAGGATGTGGGAAAAGGGGAGCCTTCTAACTGACTGTTCTAGAGGCAAGTTCTTCCACAGCTCTGCTCATTTCCCTGCAGTGGTTGGGGTGACAGAGACAAAAGCATGCTGCAGTCTGCAACCAAGGGCTCGGCAGCCTCTTGTGAGTGGAATGCAAAACAGTTTCCAAGCCAGGGTTGGGCCTGGGTGTACCCGCCAGAGGAGGAATCTCTGGTAGGGAGGTCCAGTGTGACCCTGGGATGCAAACTGCACGAGAGGGGCTGGAGTGAACTTGTGGAGAAGCCCTTCTGAGGCAGGACCTACTGGAGGATTCATGCTCAGCAAAGGCATGCCGCTTAGTGAGGATAGGCTTACCCTTCCACTTGGGAATCCCCTGAGAGTTCCAGGAGGTTCTGGGAACTGCTCTAGCTCTCCAGAGGCAGCCAGGGCCCCAAACTGCATTCTCTGATGGGGAACTTATTCTGATGATGAAAACTCAGGCCTCCAATAGGATGAAAGATAATGATATTGCACAGGGATTCCATAGCTCCCAGACTAAAATTATTACTATAGTCCCCCCAACTAGAGTTTGTGGAGCAAAATCACAGGTTTCCCCATATTTCTGGCAACTCTTAACCCACCAGCAATGTCTTAATGCTGTAATTTCTTGATCATAGTTCCTCTTTTTGGCAATAGCTGGACAACTCCAACCAGAACTGTGTGGACACATCCTAAATGAGTGCCCCAATGTCACAATCTTTTATAGGAAAAAACTTCATAGGGAGGCACTGGAACTCAAGCTTTAATGCCAAAAGACCAGCATTCATACTTTCTATATGTTATTCTATCAGAACACTAAGACCTACAGAATTTGAATTCTTCACATACCTCCAGAAAGACAATGAAAAAGAAACATCAGGATTGACACTTAAAAAAGAGATGCAGATTCCGGGAACACTCCTCATAGGACCGATGGAAATCTGAGGACTCCAGGCCACTTTTAGGGCCTGAAAAGGATGGAGACAAGCAAACCACCCAGATTACCCCTGACTTGTGCTTCTTCCTCACTGTGAGGGCATGTGTATGGGGGTAATTACTGATGAGGTGTGGGATGGTGGCTACAGACAACGTCCTTACACTCTGACATTAAACTCTCTGGGTCTTTAAAACATACTGGACTGGGTATCCCCAAGATGACAATCCAGGTAGAAGAAAGGAAAAAGCTGCCACCACAGTTAAGAACCCCCACCACATCTGCTATGCCAGGAAAGACTCTCCCCTTAACTTGACCTTTTTGACTGGCTGCTCCCTGCGTCTTGTTCCCAGTGAGAAGGTCCTCACTCTGACTTTACCTTCCCTGTAAAGAGGCAGGCCCTCCTCCTGCCACTCATATGGCTCAGAGGGAGTGATCAGCAGTTATCTTTCCTCCCAGAATGTGCATCTTATGCTAGTATAGCCAGAACTCGCCAACGAGAACTTGCCCTCAAGCCAGTAAATGCCTCCTCCAAAACGCTTAGTGGAGTCCCTTTATGTTGCCTTTACAGTTTGCTGGTTTGGTAAAGGACACAACACTCAGAGGAAATGTCATTTCTGAGGAACCTCTACCAGTGATGAGATCACAGGAAGCATACATAAGATGTAATTCTGTAGATTTACTGTGACCATCTCTTGACCTGGGACTCCTGTGAACGCACAATCTCTGGGAAGCTGTGCTTGTCACAGTCCCCTTTCTGCTGAGTCTGCCTCTTGTGTGCTCATCAGTTCTCTGACCAGCCCCTGGGCACTGGCCCATCACACCCTTACCTGCAGAAGGCCCCTATGTTCTCCACCAGGTAGCACTGGCCGCCATTGTGACAGTAGCTCGGGAAGAGGTCGCACACTGACCGGCAGGAGCCATTATGTCGCACAAAGCCACTGCGGCACTCAGTGCCATTCTCGCTTGGGGCCAGGTCCCTGCCTGGCTCTCCTGGACGCGGCCGGAGGGCGATGCTGCCGCCCGGGACTATCCCCAGAGTATGCTGTGGAGGGACAGCATGCCACCGACTGGTGGGCTGGCCTGTCCCAGGCCCCAGACCAGGCTTCTCAGTGGGCATGAGAAGGTCATTTTCATCTTCCAGGTCTCCGCCTCCCACTGCATCCTTGTCATCCTCCTCTTCCTCCTCCTCTTCCTCCAAGTCATCATAGAAGGATGTGGTGGGGTAGAAATCAGATTCATCAAAGGGGGTGAAGTCATCGTATAAGTCTAGCAGGCTCCAGGAAGGGGTCTCCCCCCCAGTATCGGGGTGGTGCTCTGAGGTTCCTGGTGAACCAGGGAAGCTCCCCAGGTCGGCGCCACGGCCCTCACCATCCAGTCCTTCAAAGTAATCGATGTCAATTATATCTGATGCTGGATGGGGCTCCAGTGTGCCCTGAAAGGGGTACGTGGGCTCTGGCCCATTAGCGTCAGGTGTGCTGCCTCCTAGGTTCAGCCAAACCTCCAAGGGGCTCTCCTTGGGGAGTTCAGGGCCTGGGCTCAGCTTGTCGCCAGGGGTGGGGGAGGGCGTTTCGCGGGCCACTGTAGCCTCAGGGGTGGCGGGGGACGTCGATGACTGCCCGAGGGCCTCGTCGGGAGCCGGAAGGGTGGCTGGAAGGGCCTGGGTGTCGCCGCTGCCGGCCTCTGCAGTCACTCCGCCCAGGCTTGGGCTTTCAGCTTCCAGCCAGGCCGTGCCCGTCACCGCCGCGGACGCCTCCAACGCCTCCTCTGGCCCGACCTTAGGGCCCACAAAGGCCTGCTCGCCGCTGGGCGCAGTCCACGAGGTCTCTTCTTCCTCAGCTTTTGATGGGTCGGTCTTCTCCCGCGTGTCGTTGGCACGCGGCTCCCAAGCTAGCACGCTCTTCACGCGCTCGCCGGCGTCGACGTCGTTGCCTACCTCACGCGCTGTGGGCGGGAGAGAGAGAGGGGTGGGGCGTCAGGGCGGCGCGCATACCGGGGCCTTGGGCCGCGCCCCGCCCCCGCCTCAGCTGCTCTCCCAGACACCCGCCAACCCTAGGCCTCTGCTTCAAGCTTTCTCAAGGCCACGCCCCATCTTTAAACCCCACCCCACAAGCAAGGGAAGACTCGGGCCCAACGTTTCCCCGCTCAGGCCCCGCCCCCAAGAGTCAGACCCCGCCCCCAACACGACTCGCAGTCTAACCAGGGCGGTCCCCAACTCCAGCGCCTGGCACGAGTCTTACCCTGGGGGCTCCTCTCCACCTCCAGGCCCCACCCAGAAGTCGCACCCCTAGGGTCCCGCCCCAACCTAGACTCCACCCCGAACTCTCATCCTTGCGCCCCTCATTACCTCCAGATCCCGCCCTTAAGTCTCACCCTCAGGCCCCGCCTACCAGGTCCCTCCCCCAGCTACCACCTCGGTCCGCACACTCGGGTCGCGGCCGCCCCCATCACTCGGCCTGCCCAGTGTTCACCACCTCCTCCTGCGCCTCTTCCCCTGCCCGGGCGGCAGGCAAGGTGCTGCCCCGCCCCCTTGCCACATCTCCCGTAC